AAGTGAAGATGCAGAACAGGGTAGTTGTCTCCTGGAGAGCTTGGTCCCATGTGGGTAGAGAATGCCATTGGTGGTCAGGGAAATTTCATTAAAATATCCTCATCTATTCATTTTTACCCTGAAGGTTCACCTAGCCACTTCTTGCTGCAGGAAAAGCTGAGGCACAGGTTGGCATTTTTTCCAGGGCATCCTGGCACTATGGTGCCACCAGCTTGTGCCTGGGAAGAGCCCAGCTACTACTGAGAGCTGTGCTGCAGCTGACCAGGCCCCTATAGTCAGATATGAGGAGGAGCCAACCACTCAGACCCCAAAACCAAGCAGCACTAATTCAAGAAAAAGGAAGAAAAGGTTTCACAACCAAACAATAAAAGAACAAGTGAGAAAGACTATAGCACCAGGCTATAGCTGCCAAGTGGCCAGAGGCATCCTAGGCTGCATTTTTATCCAGGTGGGAGAGCATATGGGTGAAGACAGGGAGGCTCAGTGTCCTGGACCCTTTCCCTCCACAGGGTTGCTGGCTCTGTGATTCCAGATTAGAAACATATCTGAGCAATAAGAGGTTGGGGTAGGGTGTAGTTGGGATTATGAGGGCTATCCCAGGAGGCCTGGATGAAAGAGAAAGTGCTGAAGCAGTGGCCAGCTGTTTCTGAATCAGGTTGGCCCACAGAGGAAAGGGGCTGTCCCAAGGCCTGTCCCCAGAGTACCAAGCACTGGAAGAGGTGGCACTACACATCCTTGAGGATCTTCTGCGTGGGAGAGTAACTCTTTGATTCTTTGATTGGGAAGAACAGGCTGAGACCAACTGGGTTCACTCCAGGAATGCAAGGCTGGTTCAATACCCTAAAGTCAACCAATTTTATCTAGCAAATTAACAGACTAAAGAAGGAAAATCACATTATTGTATATCAATCATTGCAGAAAATGCATGTGACAAAATTCAAAACTCATTCGTAATTTAAAATCCTCAGAAAAATAGGACTAGAGAAGAGCTTCCCCGGGAATTCCCTGGTGCTTCAGTGGTTAGGACTCCACACTTTCACTGCCAAGGGCCCAGGTTCAATTCCTAGTTGGGGAACTACGATTCCACAAGCCATGAGGCACGCCGGGGAAAAAAATAAAATAAAAGGAAGGAAAAAAAGAAAGGGTGAGAGAAGAACTTCCTCAGGTTGATAAAAAGCATCTACAAAAAGAAATCTACAGCTAACATATTACTTAATAACGAAAGACTAATGCTTTCCCCCTAAATTCAGGAACAGAGCCACTGTGTCTGCTAAAGGATTACTTCTAGCAAAAGAAAAATAATCCTAGGAGACAATTCTCTACAGGTCTTTCACGTTTCTGCATACCTTGTAAATGAAATAATTACAGTTCTTTGTTCCAGACTATCTTTTCAAGGACGTTTGTTTAGCAAAGAGCGTTGGAAAATAAAGATAGTTTCGACACTTCCCTGGTGGCGCAGTGGTTAACAATCTGCCTGCCAGTGCAGGGGACACAGGTTTGATCCCTGATTCGAGAAGATCCCACATGCCACGGAGCAACTAAGACTGTGTGCCACAACTGTTGAGCCTGCGTGACACAGCTACTGAAGCCC